GTGCAGTGCCTGGCACGTAGTAAGTGCTCAGTAAATGGAAGATGCTGATTTCTTTCTCCTTAAGGTTCAGGAAGCAAAAAGGGGTAGATCCAGAAGAAAAATTGGATATGATATAATAATAGCCAACGTTTATTATTGACTATGTGCTACACACTGTGCCAATTGCTTTACATGCATTATTTGATTTTAGAACAACTTTATGGGGCTAATAGCATTTTGCTAATGGGAAAATTGAGCCTTAGAGAGATGAAGTAACTTAGCCAAGGTCACCTATCTAATAAGTGACAGTGTAGGGCTTGGAACCCAGGCAGTGCTGCCCAAACTAGTCTATTGCCTCAAAGAGGTAGGGAGGGAACCAGGAATTTGGGGGTGGCGGGGTTGATGCCTGTGAATGAGGCTTAGAGGAGCTGGAAGTGGACAAAGTACAGAAAATAAAATAGGGCCAGGATGCCAGGAGACCCTCCCTCCGCCTCTGGGTTGTAAAGTGAATCTGCCTACTTGCCTTTCCCAGCCTGAGGTTGCTTTGGTTGGATCCTGCTCCCCTGGGCTGCCAGCCTGAGGTTGGCATCTCAGTTGCAGGCTTTATGTACCTGCGTGGAAGGGGCGATGCAGAGCGTTGTATACACCATATGGGGCTCCATTTGCAGTTAGTGAGTGCTCAGCTGTGCACAGCGTCTCCTTAATGAATCACATGCGAGCGCGCACCGCTATATTTATCCAAGCCCAGGGAGCGGGAGTGCTGGCTCCGGTTGGACCTGCGTGCCCCAGAACAGTGCCTCGCAGGTTGTTCCAGTTTTCCTGTGGTCAGGGCCTTAGGGCCCTTCAATAATTTGTTCCCTGGCAGAATCAGCTGGTTTCTGGAGTATCTTTCCAGGCGTTCAAAGCCAGAAAAAATGTTTACCTCCCGAAGCTATAACAGAGACCAAGTGCTAAAAAAAGGACCTGGAAACTACATCTGCTGTGCCCTTGCCTCCAAGGCCACATTTAGAGCATCACAGTCAGATAAGCCACTTTTCTTTCAAGCTTCACAGGGGAGGTCCCACGATGCCTAATTGCCCCTCTATCATCAGGTTATTTCTTCCATTTAACCTAAAACCCTTATTTTTTTTTTCCTTAGCAACTCATTATTTGAAATATTGCTTTTACAGCCAGATGTGGTGGCTTGCACCTGCAGTCCCAACTGCTCGGGCGGCTGAGGCAGGAAGGTTCCTCGATCCTGGGAGTTCGAGATTGCAGCGAGCTGTGATCGTGCCACTGCACTCCATGGCCAGACACTGTCTCCTAAAAAAAATCCTTTATTTACACTCAGATCAGAGAGTTTGCCAATATGATCGCTTTTGTGCTTAGCAATCAACAGCAATAAGAATTGCCAATGTTTACCTAACACTTATTAAGTGCCAGTTACAATATTAAGCACTTGAAAAGCATTATCTCATTTTTTCCCCACCTCAAAATAACCCTTTGAGCATTATAGCTCCATAAGGAAAGTAAGATTTCAGGGAAGTAATTTATCTGAGGATGCATAGCCAGTACATGGAGGAGTCTGGCTTGATAACAAAGTCCTTTACATCAAATAGCTTCCTCTTTCCTTTCTTCTTCCCAACTGTAGTCACATCCTCTAACTCTTCTTGCCATATCCCTCACTTAAAAATAAATGTGTGTGTGTGTATGTGTACATATATTTCCCATTTCCCCCTAGAATTGCTTTTTATCCTTTATAAAACCTAGGCAGGTGCATCCCTGGACTCAAGCGTGGTGTTAGGGTACTTAGCCTGTGACATGAGTAACAGGGAGCAGATTGGATCCCACTGAGGCAAAAGCTTTGTGGGATCTGTGTCACCTGCCTTCCCTTGTTAGATTCTCGGGGCGAGGACGAATGTCGCGTTCTGGTGTGAGCTGTGCCGCGTGTAGTCTGTGACCTAGAGCAAATCCGATCTCTCTTTCCGGTGGAAATCAAATTCAGTTTCCTACAAAATTTGAACCTGAATGGAGGGGATTGACTTGGTTTTCTAGTCTGAGAGGCCCTTTTCCTGCCTACCTCAGTCAAATAATATTTAAAAGTCGGTGAAGCGGAGTCACTTCCCCACTCCGGCCCTCAGTCGTTTCATCGGCACAATGAAAGCAGGGACGAAGGGCTCGCTGGGCTTCCCAGCAGCTCTTGGTTTCAGACTTCAGGGAGCTGCAGGAAGATCCAGGGCCAGTTTAAACAAAAAAGAGAGTGGATGGTACAGATATTTGTGCAGTTCATAAACTCCCAGAAGAGTTAAATAACGAGACACAGAGAAGTAGGGAATCGGGGCAGCCTCGGGATCCCTGCAGCAGCAGTTCGTGACCGTTCCCTCTGAAGTGCTGGCAGTACGGCGACACCCGACAAAGCCCGTTTTTATGTTTCTTTGTTAAAATGACAAGTCCTATCGGGAGAACTGCCATGGGACCGTTCAGTTATGGGGGCAGGGGTGGGCAGGTCGCCAGCAGGAAAGTGTTGCTGGGGGCCATCCTCGTGGGTGGAACAGGTGGTTCCTAGGAGGACCTGGTTGAAACCACCCCCACCATACACTCACACGCACACTCACACACACTCACAGAGCACACCCTACAAAAGAGCCCATGTGTGTGTGACCACATGGGCACCATGGCTGCGTGTTAGATGTGGATGGGAGACGGAGTGGGCAGCCTCAATATACAGGGCAGTAACCGCAGCTGTGATGTAGTTTATTAAATGTTCTCAGGCACCTGTGGGTAGTGGAAAGAGGAACAGATTTTAAGGCAAAAGATTTGAGGGATGGGCCACCCATTAGGCAGCACCAGGGCTGTGGGCACAGAGACAGGAGCAGCTCACCTCACAGGGCAGCGCCAACACCGCGTTGGGCTAAGACCCTCGCCTCTCTGCCAGGGCAGGCATTGGCTACCCTGGTCCCGCCTTTTCCACTTTGGTGGCATTTGGGCAAGTTCAGCCTCTTTAGAGTTTTCTTTTTCCTTATCTGCGGGGTGGGGATGATGGCAGTAGTAACAATCCTACTACTACAATTAATAATCTCAAGACAGCAGCTGACGGTCATGGGGCTCAGCCTGTGCCTAGCGCTTTCTGTGTGATCTGGTCTCCTTGCAGGCCCTTGACACAGCGCTGTCCAATGCCTGTGTTTTGCAGGGGGGAAGCCAAGGCTGCAAACATTAGGATGAGCAGTGAAGTGCAGAGCACATTAACATGCAGAGCACTGAGAGCATGGGTTCAGGAGCCGGTGGCAAGGCGTGAGTTCTGGCTCTGTCACTCACTGGCATGGTGTTCTTGGGCACGTGGCTTAAGCTTCATTAATTTGCAAAATGGGCATCCTGATAAGGCCTGCGTCACGGTGTGGTTGTGAGGAGTAAGCGATTTAATGTAGACACGAACAGTGTCTGGGGCATAGCAATGCTTTGCAACGTTTGCTATTATTAATGAAAGGTCCAGTTTGTGCAGGGCAGAGTGAGGATTTGAACCCGGAGCTGATTGACTCTAGAATACGCCCTCTAAGGCGGCTATTTCTGTGGTAGCAGCCCGAGAAGCTTCAGAAGTGGGTGGTGTAAATGGGAGGGGTGGGGAGAGGAGAGCAGGCTGTGGAGCTAGGGAGGGGGAGAGAATGAGGAGCCCGAGGCATGGGGCCACTTCAGGCCTCCCGGCCCTTCTCACAGCCTTGGCTCTGCGACCTTGAACTAGGTACCCAGGAAGCCAGCAGCACTGCCGGGTCCCCATGACCGATCCGAACATTCGGCATGTCCTCTTATGCTTCTTACTTTACAGAGGGGTTGGTGTGATAAGGAAGGACAGAAACAGAGACAGAGTGACTAAGACAAGAAGAGGGGTGGAATCAGAGAGTGGGGGAGAAGCAGAGAAAGACATGGAGACATGCAGAGAGAAAGAGAGCGATTAATACCCCGGCAGATAAGCAGAAGAGACACACACAGCAGAAAGCAGAGGAAGGCAGGGTGCGGGCACCCGGGAGGTGTCAGAGGGGACAGCGCCGGGCGGGCCGTGACTGCCTGGCTTGTTCTGTGGCTGAGAAGCAAACAAGCCTGTTAAGTGAGTCGGGGCTTTATCTGAGGAAAGCACCTTTGCGGGTGCCGGTGCACTGAGGAGTGTTTGACCTCGTAGGGCTGTGACAGGAGAGACTGTCCTTATCTGAATTGGGGACAGGAGCTCTCTTCTGTGTATTTCACACTGGATTCCACAGATTAGGCCGGAGCATTTCACAGTGGGTGATAAAGGCTTGTTTGGAGAAGCCCTGGGCTGAACAGGACTGGTTCGGCTCGGGGAGGGGTTGACAAGACTGCAAGCTGGAGACGGGTTTTCCACGGGCGGGGGGGCTCTGTGCACCGTCACGTGCGTGTGTGTTAGCATAGGGACCTCGGGAAGGACACACACCAGACTGCTGACGATTGCCAGTCTCCCCAGTTGGATTAATGAGTCTCACTTTCTACGTTACGTGCTTCTGTTCTGTTTACAATTCTTACAGTAACAATACTCAGAGGAACAAAGGTTTACTGCAGGCTAATAACTGAAAACGAGAGGTCAGGGAAAGCCAGGGCGCCTGCGTGGCACAGGCTGCAGTGTCCGTCCATCTGACGGGCGGGCAGCGGCCAAGTGGAAGGGCCAGAGCAGTTGAGAATATTTCCCTTTGATGTTTCCAAGGTGCTTTGAAAATCTGATGGCCACAGTCTCTCCTCTGATTCTTGAAATTATTAATATCCCCTCAGCTCAGCCAGATGTCCTTCCTTTGAGGTTCCTCCAGGTTTTGAAAAAGACAGAGGGGCGTATGCTGTGTTGGTTGGTGTGTTTCCGTAGAGGCCATGAGGCTGTTCCCCGACAGCACTGTGTGTGCAACAGCTGCGGAACTCGCCCCCGGTCCCTTAAGTCCCCGTCTCCCACCCTGTTTTCTTCTACATTTTAAATGAAAGTTGTGGCTGGTATACGCCGTGGCATTGCCCATTGGCTTGAGAAATGACCCAGATGTATCTTCTTTCAGGCTTTACGAGGGCAAAGAACAGATGGAGTTTGAAGAATCCATGAGACGGCTCTTTGAATCCATCAACAACCTGATGAAAAGTCAATATAAGACCACGATCCTTTTGCAGGTTGGTTTGTGCTACAATAAAAATCTGTCTTTCCCTTGGTCATCCAATAAATGAGAGCATGCTGAGCTAATGTCTATTTTTACTTAAATATTCAGCCTTGTGTTAATTGAAGTCCTGGTCTGGTCACGTGGTTTGATAATCATGACACCAAGGGCTCCTCGTGGCAAGAGAACGCATATTTATTTCCCGTGAAGGCAGCAGTGCCTTCCTTTAAAATAGCTCTGAAGCTTCTATTACCTGGAAGGAAATAAGTCAGACCGGATCCGCTTCTGACGGTGAGAACAGTTGAGGTGGCAGTCTTTCAAACTGAGGCTCCGATAGTTCACTCTTAATTTTTGACAACATAAACTCGGGCTCTCTTTTGGGATTAAAGAGGTCTCCTCTATGAACAAGAGGCACTTTGGAGAGAAAGGATCCTCTAATGTAGTGGTTCTTGATGCTAATGTGCAATCTGCAAATCTTTGAGAAACCTTGAGGCCTAGTCGTGTGTTTGAGAAAGAGCTTAGCAGCAGAAAGGCTGGATGAAGAGGCTGTTTGGGGGAGACTTTGGAACTTTCACAGAATTTACTCACAATCACCTGGTCGGGGTTGGGGTCTGCTTGAATGTGTCGTGAATAAAGAAAACCCAAACACATTTATTTAAATCAATGAGTTAATGCAGATTTCTTCTTCTTCCTCCTCTCCTCCTCCTCCTCTTCCTCTTCTCCTCCATCAGCATTATTCTTTTAGTTGCTAATTTAAATACCCGTGTGCCTGGGATGCCCGGCGTCTGGTTAGAATTGCTGAGGTGCTGGTGTTTGCTAGGACAGAGCTGAGGAAGCAGAGGCAGCCGTTTGCCCAGGGAGTGTTTGCTGCTAGCACTGTGGGTTCCACACTTCGCACGGTAGACTACTTGGGGATCTTCCATAAATTATGACACCTGGTTCCCACCACCAGACTTTCTAGCTTAATTGTTATGGAGTGTGACCCAGGCAAGGGGATTTTAATGTGAAACAAAGTTTGGGAACCACTCTGGTAATGGCTTCCCTTAACGACTAGTGGAAACCAGGTGTGTGTGTACACATGTGTATGTGTGTGGAAGGGGGTGGGTCTTATTCACCATTGTACACTCCTAATGCATAGTTTATGCTTAATAAATATCTGTTGAATGAGTGAATGAACAAAGGCACAACTCTAGGGACAGGTCTTAAGGTCTCCATTTCATTGATGAAGCGACTGAAGCTCGGACAGTTGCTAGAGCTTTCTCCAGGCACCGTCCCTGGGAAGCGGGATGCCCGGGATTCAGATCTGTTCCTGCCTAGTTCTAAAGACCACGCTGGCCACCACTGTACTGGACTCTTCTGTGTACTGTCCTTTTAGCACCTGCTGGATAGGGACGTTTTCCATGGGGTTAGTTGGGACTGCGGTCTTAGAGTTTTCACCTTCCCTTACGTCTTGCTGGTTTTTCAAAACATCTTCCCCGTATTCCTAAACCCCTTGTTATTCTCTGGCAACAGGAGGAACAGGAGCAGGGGACAGCATGAAGAAATGTGGCAGGAGTCCGAGCCTGCCACCCTGTCTGTGTCATATTGGAAGCAGCTGAGCTTCCAGTCCGAGGCCACAGTGTCCGGCTACCCGCTGAGAGCTGAGGATGGCCAGTGGCAATGGGGGAGGCTGCAGGGTTGAGTCGGGTCTGAAATGGGCTCCAGGGAAGCTGAAGTGTGAGTGAGCAGACACGAACAAACAGATGAAGCCAGCTGGTGGGAGGAGAAGGGAGCAGACGCCCTGCAGAGGCAGAGGGGACTCTCGTTCTGATTTCAGCACCTGTTTCCCTGTGACGAGCTACCCTATCTCTTGGGAAGGAACAGGGGAAGAGCGGCAGTAAGGAGGGGGAGGAAAGAGAGAGGGACAAAGAGAAAGGGAAAGAGAGAGCACTCAGATGAGCAGGTGAGCACTTCCCTGGTTGTTCTTTATCAGCCGCAGGACCTCAAGGTGCTCATTTGACCTCTCTGAGCCTCAGTTTCCTCATCTCTAAAACGTCACTGTCTGGGTGAGGATCAAATCAACACTGTCTGCAAAAGATCAAATTATAAATCGTGATGCAAGTGCAGAGAACTAACATGATCATTATGGCCTATTGCGGCTTTGGCTTAAGTCTTTTCACCCAGGTTCTTACTGTCTGGGTAACTGTGTTAGAAATGCCTCCCGTTCCTTGTGATTTGGACCATACTGTGCTGGTTTCTTCTCCTGGGCTTCCACACCCAGAGCTGTAGGAATGGGCTTCATCTCTTTAAATTTTTAAATTTGTTCGAAGGGCCAGATTTAGCTTCAGGGATTTACATAAAACCAATGATGCTTTTCACCTATTTACATGGCTGTTGAAAAGTTATCAAAGAAAAACTTAAAGTCATATTTAAATATGGAGAGCAGTACCATTGGGAGGGAATGTAATGCTGTTTTAGGGTGCAAGGAAGGGGCTGATGGGGTTGGGAGGCCAGATTCTATGACGTCAGCAGGCCCCACACAAGGGATCGTCTGTAAACTTTGACGTTTGCAGCAGGAAGAGCTTTGGCTTTTGACCAGAGACCTGCGTGGGAAAGTGGGTGCCCACACTTGGGTGTATAATCTCAGCATTTCGGCTTTCTGTACCTCAGTTTATCCTTTTATAAATTAGGAAGCCTAATGTCTAATTTAGAGAATTATTGAGAGTACTAAATAAAGTAATATATCTAAAGCATGAAGGATAAAGCCTGTTACATGGTTTAGTTGAAATAGCTTTTAGTCATTTATACCCCTCCCTCCTTTAGCTCATCATAAAACAGAAGCTTTTGGGATATTTTACTACAGTGGAATCTGGAAGGGGGTGTTTGTGTCGCTAACCTTGTCACATGACACCAAACAGTGTTAGGACATCCAGTTACTCAGTTAGACCAAGAAACGTAGATACGCATTTCAAGGAGAATAAACCCACAAGAACGGACTGTGCGGGAAAAGATGGATGGCAGCGTCTTGCATAGTGAAATAGCGCAAGGCTGTAGGAATGTGATGATCTAGTAACGTCAGCCGCAGGTGTCGGGTTGGAACAAGGAGTGAGGATGACAGTGATTGACATTCCTGGTCCAAACTGTACTTGCAGCTGTGTAGCGGCTTGTGGTGAAACCTTATTCATGCCTGCCTTCATTGTGGGCGGAGCAGCTCTGATTCAAATCTCAGCTTCGTCCATCGTGAGTTCTGAGACCTGAGCAAGTTATGTCCATTTCTAGTGCTCCACTGGCTTTTGCCCATTGCTTTCTGTGGTTTCCCTTCTTGTTTTGAGTTGGCATGGCAGTGGCTCACTCAATACCGTGGAGAATTTAAAGTCAGTAAGTTCAAAGGGGGCAGAAAGAGCAGTAGAAATACCTTCCATTGATCAAGTACCTACCATGTGCCAGTCATGGCACTGGGCTGTTCCTCCTATACAGTGTTTTTAATCCTGCCAGAGATCTGCAAGGAACCACCGTCCTCAGTGTCCACGGGAGGCTCTTAAAGCCAAATAGCTCACCCGAAATTACTTCTATTTATAGTGGGGGAGTGGGGATTTGAGTCCACCCAGGTCTCCCGACTCCAAAGTCACTGTTCTCTATGCCGCAGGAAAGGCTTAGGCCAGGGGGTTCCACGTGTTTTCAACAATGGGCCACATGCTCAGAAGTCCCTGTGTGTGCCGACCGTGAGTGTTGTTGATGAAACTGATGGCAAGTGGCGATGGTCAACTCCAGACACCTGCGAACTGGATGTAGTTCAAATGCGGTGTCACATGGTGGCACTATGTAGACCAATTTGCCCCATTCTCCTTAAAGTCCTTGATATTTCATAATGCCCAATTTGGTGGTACAAGTGGGATTAAATGAACAGCTTGTATTGAATGGCATGCTCTCTTGGCCATTGTGATTGTCATTCATGCTACAAAGTCACTACAGTGTCCCGGAGGGCAAGGGACTCAGTCTTTGCTATCCCCAGTGTCTAGAACAGCAGCTACCACATGGAAAGTACTTGTATACCTGTTGGCCGCATGAACGAAAGAATGAATTCTAGCTTCCACTGCTTTGTTCTGTTTTGTTTTCTGCTTTAGCATTTATTATGTGTCAAGCTTTGAGCTAAAAGCTTTACCTATATTGTTAGCTCATTTGATCTTGATAACAACCACCTTATAAGGCAAATACTCTTTAAAAATTTCAATAGATTTAGGAGACATAAGTGGGGTTTTGTTACATGCATGGATTGTATAGTGGTGAAGTTCGGGATTTTAGTGTACCCAACACCCTAATAGTGTGTAGGCTTTACCCAGTAGGTAATATTTCATATTCAAAGGTAAGAAAACACCAAATATTCTTTTTATTTCCACTTTACAATGAGGAAAAGGAGGCTTAGAGAGGTTGAATGAGTTAACCACAGCTGTAAAGTAGCAGATCTTGGATTTGAGTCTTGGCTGTGTAAGTCCAGAGTTTTAGTTTCTAATCACCACCAAAATAGTCAGGTAGTTTCATTAAAGACCTAAGTCTTCTGGAAAAATACCTGGATAAGCACTAAACAACAGTGAACAACAGTAAAGGTGGGCAGATAGTTGGTCCGTAGTCATGCAGCAAGCTAATAAAAATGCCTCTCTCTTCCTTCCCTTTTCTTTGTTCATTGATATAAGATGTTCTAATGTCTGAACTAAGGGAAAAAGTGTCCCATTCTTGAAACTTGGCCCACAGGCTATACATTGAACCCCCAGAAGTAGGAAAATGAGAATTAATATTTAATAGTAGGAGCTGGAGTTCCAGCCCAAACCTCTAAGTGATTCTTCAGTCTTGTCCCCTTCTCACCCATATACTCCATACTCCACTTAGGGGTAATTCTTGGGAATGATGGATTCAGTGGCAGGTAGGATGAAATTTTGTCCCAATAAGGAAGCTGTAGTCATAGATAGCTCATATTTTTTCATTTAATCTTCACATTAACCCTATAAAGTAGATAACTTTATCCTCTCCATTTTCCTGGTG